TGAACTGAAAGTCCAGGAGACCTCGGTTCTCATCTCAATTCTGCCACTACCTAGAGTTTAGACAACCTGAGCCAGAAACATAGAGACACCAGCAAATAGGTTGGTAAATCAGTGAACCTAACTTTTTTAGCCTCTAATTCATCTGTGATAGAAAATACTGAATTAAAAGATATATAAAAGCCTCTTTTGGCTATAAATTATTCAATTAAAATGCAGACTTATCCAAATGACTAGAGCTGGTCAGAATTATGACTAGTTAAAGAAACAGAGGGTCCTCGATAAAAGAGAAGAAAACAAAAACAATGTTTTCCAGCAAAGGCAACAGCACGCATGAGGGTTCTGTGGTAAAAACAAGTGAGATGGTGTATAATCTAATCTATAATGTATGTGAACCCAAGGGCCTTATCAACTCAAACAACTTTAGTACTGTGATCTTAAAGATTATCTAGTCCAAATCATTCACTTTACAGATGAGAAAACATATAATATGCCCAAGGTCATATTGTCCGGCTGTGCCAATGCTAGGACTAAAATCCAAATTTCCCCAGCTCCCAGTCAAATGCTCACTTCCTTTCTTGTAACCAAAGGCTTCTAGAACTGCATAACAACTTCAGTGCTAGCTGTTGTATGGCCATATACCATAACAGTCAACATGTGCTCTTTCAGGACCTCCAGTACCACTGTATCATATATAAGTATGGCATAGGCAATGAATTCTAGGCAAATAGATCCAAAAACCCATAGGGAAAATATCTGCAAATCCTATATCTGATAAGAGACTGGTATCCAAAATGTATAGAGAGCTCTTACAACTCAGTAATGAGAAGACAAATACCCAATTTAAAAATGGGCAAAGGATTTTGCATAAGCATTCTCCAAAGAAGATATATAAATGTCCAATAAGCACTGAAAAGATGTTAACATCAACAGTTATTAGGAAAATGCAAATCAAAGCCACAATGAGATACCACTTCACACCCACTATTATGGTTATAATAAAGACAGACCATAACAAGTGTTGTGAGAATTTGGAGAAATTGGAGCCCTCATACACTGCTGTTGGGATTGGAAAGTGGTGCAGACACTGTGGAAAAACTTTGGCAGACTCTCAAAAAGGGTTACCATATGACCCAGCAATTCCACTCTAGGTATATACCCCAAAGAATTAAAAACAGGCGTTCAAACAAAAACTTGTACACAAAATGTCCATAGCAGCACTATTCACAATAGGCAGAGGTGGAAGCAATACAAGGGTCCATCAACAGGTTACAGATAAACAAAATGTGGTATATCCATACAGTGGAACACGATTCAGCTATAAAAAGAAGTGAAGTACTAATACATGTCAAAACATGGATGAACCTTGAAAACATTATGCTAATGAAAGAAACCGGTCACAATAGACCACATTTGATATGATTCCATTTATATCTATTCTCATTGACCTGGAAGCTGTTGTCCTGTGTCCCTTCTCCCTCTCCCCATCACCCACTCTCGCAGCATTCTATTCTCCATTCTATTCTCATACCACTGCTCCCTAGAAGCACTTAGATCCTAAAAATGCCTCAAAACAACTATAGGAAACTGACAGAGGACAAAAGAGTGGGATTCAGTAGGAGTTCAAGAGTTAAATCCATGAAACAATTCACATGACCGCAGTACATAGATCATACTGGTAGCTCATATTGCCCATTCACATTTTACCTTTTTTTCCACGTAGAAAAGGTATGCTGTTTTCTCAATTCCCAGCAAATCCCATATCCTTCAAATGTTTCTCAGCTTGCTACATGGCTAGACTAGGACACAGAAGTGACACAGCAATATCCTCCCTAACCATCTCTAACAGAAGAGAATCAAAGATTAGAAGAAAGGAGAAGCTGGATATGATTGTCCCGCTCATTGCAAACACCACAGGTTAGTCCTGCTTATACAAGAGAGGTGACTATCACAACGCTCATCCCAAACCTTTTTTTTTTTTTCTTCTTCTCTTTCAGATTGGAGTTATGTAAATCTTTTAAATTTTCTTTTTTTTTTTAGTTTTGTTCTGGTGTCCTTTGACAAGTTTCTTTATGGATTTCTCATTTGTAAAATGGGACTAAATAATATTCAATTCTAGACCCTCTCTCTCTGACAGGAATGTTATGTGAAAGAAATGTTAAAGTACTTGAAAAACTTAAAAGCATAATATAATAATAGATAACATGTATTGTATTTACTTCATGTCATTTGAAGCCCTTTACATGAACTAGCTTGTTTACTCCTCACAACAACCCTTGAGGAGATACCATTAACCCCATTTTTCAGATGAATAAACTGATGCCCAGAGAAACAGAGTTTTTTCCTCCAAGTTTACACAAATATTGTACAGTAGAGCTGGAATTCAAACCCAGGCCATCTTGGTCAATAAATTTGAGGATATGTTACTGAATTAATATACTTGCAATGTGTAAAGAAAATTATGTTAGAATATTACAGCACATGGCTTAAGAAAGCAAACACTATAACCATTCAACAAATATTTGAATTTTACTTTGTTCCCACCACCATATACCATCATCTTTATGCATTCTGAGATTAACATGTCACAGGTAAATTTATGTAGAACAGAGGTCCCAGAGTCACACAGACCTAGTCACACAATGTCACTTAACAGCAGTATAGGCAAGTTACTTAACTGGATCTTAGTGTCCTCATATGTAAAATAATGTTAATACCTACCACTGAGAATTTAAGAACTAAATGTATTCAAAACTCATCTCAGAATAATGTCTGGCACATAGTCAAAATTAAGTGTTAAGCAAACATCATTAGCTACTACTTTTAATATTATTATTTCACTCCTTTGCCATTTTACCCGTAAAGAAACATCCAAAAAGTTCTGTCTCAAAGCTATCACGCGATCTTGAAATGAACATATGTATTGGATTTCACATCTCTGTGTCTCCATAATTTGGTAATATTTTCCAGTAAAATTATAATCTATTTAACACTGCTGCTGATGTGAGCGTCTACTCTACCATTCTAAACTTATAGAAACATTGTATTTCTTATATGTAATGAAATTACTACAAACTCATATCTCTTAATACAAACTCACATTTCTGATTAACTTTAGTAAACTGACTTTGAGAGTCACTGTGTATGGCTTTTTACCAAAATGCCTCAAATTAAAGTGGTAGTATCTTCTTAGAAATTAATCTGAAGAAAATTTTCTCATTAAAGCCACTAAATGATATTCATTCAACTTTCCCAAATTTTTGGAGCATTTCAAACCTAACAGGAGTTTACCAAAGGACTTAATCCATATCACTCATTCCAAAAGTCTGCTCTGAAAAAGACATAAGACTGTTTTTATATATTATAGTGTTTAACCAGAGTCAAGACCAGAAGTGGGCAATTCACTTTACACACAAGCCACAGCAGGATCAGGGAGAGAGGAAGAGAAAGAACAGGAAGATTGGCAAGACAAATCAATTATTTACTTAAAAGTCCACAGAGTACAGAGCACTGTAAGATGCACAGTGCCAACATGCTCCACCCCTTCTCTACTAGTCAGGACAGGCCACGAGATGAACATCCGAGTCCAACAAGAACCAGCCAAGTGCCAGACAAAATGGCCTTACCAGGCTGCATGAGGCCAAACACATACATTTTTAACTCCTAGAGGTTTAAGGAGGAAGATGATCAACAGCCTAAACACTGCAAAGAGATTAAGGAAGACAAAGGCTATAAAAATGCCTGAATACATGGACATTGGATCTTTTGAAGTGCATTTGCAGTAAAGTGTCGGGGACAGAAACAAGGCAGAAAAGGTGTTAAAGACTGAGTGGGGGAAAAAAAGCTGCATACAGAATGTCCTTTTTAAAATGTTTCAGAGTAAAAGGAAAAAGGATGACAATAATTCAAAGAGACAGAAAGGCAGAAGTATTTTATTTGTTTTAGGATAGAAGAGACCTCTGTGTTTGTAGTTTGAAAGGAAGGAATCAATAGTGAAGCTGAAGATGCAATACAGAAAGATAACTGATAAGAGTGAGGTACTAGACAAAGTAAATACTAGGGAATGCCGTGGAGAAGAAACGTGATCCATGTGGATCCTGAAAGTCATCAGAGCAATGAAAATGGGGAGAGAGCAAACACTAAAGACTTCAAAAGTTTAGAAGCTATATACCAAAATGGCGAAACGATGGTCTAGAGGGACAGTGAAAGACTAGAAGTATGTTAATTGCTCCCCTCCTTGGCCAGGGAGTATTCAACTAGCAAAAATAGGAATAATAGTATTCATTACAAAAAAGGGCTTGTTTTCATTTATGGGTTACTAAGAAATGTTGGAAGAAAAGATTAAGAACCTAGGACTTTGCTCACATTTGTGCATAGGTTCTACCAGACCCAGTAGAAACAGCTGCTAAAGAGACATCAAGAATGAGGAGAAAAGGAGTGGGGCTGAGCTTTATAATATTGAGGCAATAGCAGTAGAAAGAACTGAGGTAATTATCAAGGGCAAAGATGAATAAGGATAAGCTAAAGAACCATATGGCTGCAGAGAATGGAGGGAAGTAAGAGAGCAGAAGATACAAAAAAAAGTGCTGGGTACCATAGGCAATGAGTCTTTAGCACTAATCAGCCCTATATTTTCAAGTGGAATGATCTTCAAAACTCACTTTCCCAGAAGCTGGACCCTGAAACATCCTTTAATTTCATTTGCCAAGACTAGCAACTGCTGAATTGTGTCAACAGTTTGTTTGTGTCTGTTTGTTTTTTGAATTGGACATTTGTTTTTAATAAGGATTTGTTGAGAGTCCCACAAAAGGATAGGAGGAACATTATCCAAAAGAGAAATGAATGTCATATGACTAGAACTAGGGCTACAGATCATACTTAAGTCTTTTAAGCGCCCTTGCACACACAGATAGGATGGATGGAAAAGGGTAGATAACAGCACTTAATATTTAGGTAGTGCTTCACTGATTTGAATTACTGTCTAATCAATTATCTCAACTGACCTACTTTACCAGTCCCCTCAGGAACATTTCTTCAACAGCTACGAGCCTCAGTTTCCTCATCTGTAAAGTAGGAATAATAGACGTAAAGATTAAAGTGTTAACACATATTAAGTACATATCACACAACTGATGCTAAAGAAATGGTAGATAATATATTCTACTATAACATGCTACAATGACAGAAATGAAATTCTATTTTAACTAATATTATTATAAACTAAACCATCCAAGTTGAACCACAGTTTATTGCTAAACTGCTGTTAATACACATAGGACAAATTCTGTTCAACAACAACAAAAACCTAAAAAAAAAAAAAAAATGCATTCCAAAAATTCCTCTGCACCTGACAGTTAATCCAACTAACAATGATGGTATTTTTTAGGGCACAATTTCCATAACTAGCAACTTATACAATGCTTAGTGGTTTAAAATGTACTGTACTTTTTCCCAAATAAGTACTTCTAAAATAAATGAGGGGGCCGGCCCGGTGGCGCACTGCTACAGTGCGCCGCTTGGGAGTGCGGCAGCGCTCCCGCCGAGGGTTCGGATCCCACATACAGACCGGCCGCTCACTGGCTAAGCGAGGTGCGGGCGCAACACCGAGGGTTGCGATCCGTTGCCGGTCACGAAAAAAGACAAAAAGGAAAAAAAAATAAAATAAAATAAAATAAATGAAACTTCCAGCTCAATTCCAGGGAAATATTAGAGAATCTCAATATCTCTCAAATAAATGGAGTTGTACATGGATGTAGAGTAATGTAGTTCGCAAAGAATTTGAGGGCAAAAGATAGAGGCTATGTCTTGCCTCCTTTCACAACTTCAGTTAATTAATAGAAATGTTTCTCTGTTTTACCAATCTCATAGTCTTACATTTATCTTTACTTACTTTCCTTCTTTCTCTGTATCAAGCCCTCCCATCTCTTCCTTCTTCAAAACCTCTCCAATATATTCCTTTTTCTTTTTCATCCCACTCTCCAAATTCATATCCTGAGTGTTCACAACTGAATTTCTTAATAAATCCTTAACTGGACTCCTTTCAAATAATCTACATAACACCTCCTGATTAATCAATCTATACAATTATGTGTCATTTAACACAGGGATATGTTCTGAGAAAGGCATTGTTAAGCAATTTTGTCATCACGCAAACATCACAGAGTAACATACATACACCTAAAGAGTTATAGCTTCTATATGGTATAGCCATTATGATCTTATGGGATCATCGTCGTACATATGGTCCCTCATTGACCAAAACGTCCTTACGTGGTACATGATTGTAATTCCAAGTTCATCAAGTCACTGTACAATTTATAAATCTTCAGTGGTTCCCAAATGTTAGCAAGATTGAGTCCGAATTCCTCAATATGACTGTTAAGGCTATTCATAATCTTAGCATTACCTCACTAATGTTATCTCCTTCTAGTCCATAACCTAAACTCTGTTACTAGATCAGCCAAGAATTCTCAGCTCTAGTCAATAATACAAGTTTATTCCAATCTCAGTATTTGAGCTTTGCCTGGGCCTAGAAAACCATCCCCTTCCTTCCATTCAAATCTTATCCAACCATCATTGTAAAACTCTAGCCTAACTACCTACATGAAGCCCTCACAGACCACTCACTTCAGCCCAGCCTAATCTCAGTAAACTACAACCTGTCATTTCAACATAAATTAGTAGTCTAACAGACCACCTAGAGCAGTCATTCTAGTCAATGGCATTTTCACCAAAGCAAATTTTTCATAAGGCTAAATCATTCAATATGAAAAACTCCTTTAGGGCCGGCCCAGTGGCGCACTGGATAGTGCGCCGCTTGGGAAGCGCGGCGGCGCTCCCGCCCGAGGGTTCGGATCCCACATACAGACCGGTTCC